TTTCTTTTTTTTCGTTTCGTATCTGTCTCTTTCTCTCCCTCTTTCTCTCTGTTCATCTTTGTTTAGATACTTTTTTCGATTTGCTTTAATTGCGCTCCTTAGAACAGCCCTTGGCGCTCTCAAGGATCTCGCAATGAGGATCTCAGCCTGCCCCCTTACGCGCACGCGTCAGGATGCTGAAACGTTATATACAGTCTATCTTTAACAAAATGTTAGGAAAATCATTCAACCAAATACCTTCGTTTCCGAGTATCAATTACCGTTCGTTTTCTTTTATCGACACTTTTTTTCGTATTGCCTAGAATGGTTGGCTCGTACCGATCGATTCCGAAAAGCGTCTTACACCGGAAAAAATCGAATAAAAATTCTCATCGAATGTCTAATTGCGGTTGATTGCTACGGAAAATCGTGTTTAAAAATATTGTCGAGTTCACCGTTCCGGGTCTGAATAAAATGTAATATAGTCGGCCGTGTACATTTAGACTTTTGTTATACATTTATGAGATTAGTTTAAGCGATGTAACGTCGTAACTCGACCGGAACCGGAATGATCGCGGAGGCACTTCTCCTCTTACGCGATTCTTTTTGATAACTACTACGGTAATCACATGTATACGTTCTTACTTATTCTTCGACAAATCACATCAACATGGACTCACCCATATTGGCCAGGAAGAACCGCGGGATATCCAGCCCGAATGCCAGCAGCGAACGGGAATGCTGAAATCATAAACAGTTCGTAGTCAATCCTATTTACGTTTCTAATAGCCAGCCCTGAACTCGAACACCCGGGTCCGTGTACACGGCCTTCGTGTATATCGAACATTCTGTTCTTTGCGAATACATACTTCGATTATTACTATCTATGCAGATTAAACGACGAAAAAATGTCTACGAAGGGAGTCTTGTTAAGTGATTCAGACAAAACTGAGCAAGTACACTTTGGAAGCTAACAGAAGGGGAACAATGAACAGCTGGAGAATTTTAGATGTATGAGATGTTATAGAACGTCGTCCTCTCTGAATTGGAAGTGCCCTTGTCGAAATACTGCATTAAGAAATTGGGACAATTCAAATATTTTTTCTTTGATAAATTTCATTTGCTAAAAAAGTTTGAATTGCGAAATTGCATGCAATATAAAATTAACTTAGTTCTTAAATTTTAGCTTTGTTCTCTGATGCGTTCGACAAAGATCGTAGTTTGAGGAGTTGCGTATTCTTTGTGGGTAATTTGATAAACTAATTCATGTTTCCAGATGATATTACGAACTTGAGAGTTTCTACTTGAAGTCCTTTAAATATGCATATTTTTATAATGCAACATTGTCATAGAATTTTTATCATTACATCTTCAAAGAGTACCTTAATTTCTAAATATCAGAAACGAAAGGATTGTAGAAAATTTTATTTGTATTATATAAATTTGAATTATTCTTCATATGCGTACCAATTCAATTTTTACTGCCAATAAAACTCCTACTTCGATAATACTGTGTCCAACAGAAAATTTTATTTATTTATCACAGGATAATTTTAGTAATTTCTCGCTTACAGTAGAATCCGGAACTAAAATTAGTCTTGTACCCTCACTTTTTTAGAAATCTTTCTTCTATTATGAATAGTTTCCTGATTACACACATGAAACAGATGTGCTTTACCGAGAAGAACGTGAACTTTGAGGTTCACTTCAACGTACTGAGGATCACTGGAACTGCTTCGTGCCTTCCGGAAATATTTTACTTTTTCAATCAAAAATAAAACCTGTGTTCTAGTTTTCTTTGATGATTTCTCTATGCAAATGTTGCAATATTTACATATATAATTGTATTTAATTTTGTTTAACTAGGTTCATAAAATAATTTTTTACATATCAAAGAAGATAAAGGAAATCAATTTTTAGAGTCGAATGCAAATTTACAAAAATTGCTTATTACATACAGAATCTAATCATCGAATAATTGCTCTCAGCGACAGTTACGAATGATACCTTAACACTAAAACTACCAAGTAGTTAAATTGACTTTTTGAAATTTCATTATAGACACTCCAAGAGTGCATCTATCAAGATTTCAATTGATTTACAATTCCAGTTTCCGTATTGGTAAATCAATTTGAAGTGCAAAAAGGAGACATCAGGAATGGGTCATTTTGGCCCGTCTGGTAGTTTTAGTGTTAATTTTCTAACAGCGGCATTGAATTAAGCATACGTGAAACTAAATTTTGATCTCTGATACCCAGTTTATTACTAATAACGCGTAAAGAGCTTATTTCATTACGATCCTATAATCTAATATTAAACATCATTAGCTGACGCCAGACCAAACATGCTTTTTGCGCAGAAAGGAAAAGAAACAAAGGAAAATCCGACACTAGGGTTAGGGCAATTTTAGACTTAGGCACCCGAAGCGCCAAGCTATGTTGGCCTGAAGCCACAGCGAGAATTTGAAGAGAGTGACTCAGGGGACGGTTCTCGATTTGCATGGTCGACGTTCGTGAATTTGCCCTTCGCCCTTTCAGTCCACATTTGATAGATCTAATTGAGTAAGAGGCAGAGATCATTATCTGCCAGAAAATTTCATTTCGAACTGGCCCGAAATCAGAATCGAACCTTATTTCGTTCGTCAGACACTGATGTTATTGTCTCCTAATTACCATCGACGTTGGTACGCTATTAGCCATTCGGCATTACTATTTTACTAGTTTTGGACGTATGCCCTCCATACATCAAGAAAAAGGATTACTTCCGCCCTTGTCCTAGACGTCCGTTATAGAGACGTTTCAAGATTTACCGATTTGGCAGTGTTTCAACGACGAAATGCCTACGACGAATCCACGAAAATATTAAGGAGTATTCTAGAATCACCGAGCTAACAAAAACTTAAGAAATATTCAAACGCATCCAATTTCATGGATACAAGTATATAGTCAGTTATAATTGTAAACAAAATAAAATGGCAGTTAAACTTAATCGTATCATATATTTAAGACTAATATTATAGGACTGATCTTCTTGTCTATGATACATATAACTGAATGTTCATATTCAATCTAAACCCACATAAAATAAAAACATCCTCAAACTTGATTTTGTTTAGGCTTCCACAAGGAATGGTTCAGGTATTAGAACGTTGTACACGAAACTCGGCACACGGGTTAAGATTCATCGAAGTAAAAGCATAACTTCACTCAAGCAGCAACAACTCAAACAACTACCGTCTAACCGCTGAATCTGTTTCTAATGCCTTGTGCAATCCACATACACTCAATGGCCGTACATCGCTGAGCAAACTTACTCGCTTGTAGATTACCCCTGGGCTTAGCTCCAAGAATCGCCAGGTTGACGTTTGCTTTGCGACCGTCGATTATGGGGTTGGGGTCTTTGCACGCCCTCTCCGCTGCCGGTCTGTCTCCCATGATCACCTGCGTGCAGATCCGATCGATTATTCGGCTAATCCTACTGCTCCACCTGGATCTTGCACTTCTCCCCTTATAACTACCAGTTCAAACTCCTCTGTATGCCTTGTACACAAGACTTACTTGATTCGCGTTTTGTTTCTGAACTCATATGAACGCGGAAGGGGGCCAAGTCTGATCATAACTTCTCACCGATCAATTTCACATGTACTATCGAACGAATTTTAACCCCTTGCCCTACGATTTATTTCTCAGCTGTAAATGATACAATTACTCTATCATTAATAGTTTATTGGGAGAAAGAGAACAATTCTAGGCACATCCTATATCCATGTTTGCTTTAAAGCATCATAACTGATAACAGAAGAATAATATTTCATTTGAATTCATAGGAGAATTTGGTAATATTTATGTTTGTTAAACTTTACATAAATCTTCACACCAGTCTCACACGTTATTGTAAGACAAGGAATTAATAATTAAAGTAACATGAATTATTAAATAAATTCCAAAACTTAAACGTATTAACTTCACACTAAGAAATAAAATTACTATAAAAATTCTAACAAAGGTAATCTTTAAATATTCCGACATAAAAATTAATGTAAATATTCTTCTAAAATATTCAATATTAAATCCAAATACTAAATCAGATGCACTTTCAACTAAATCAAAAGAAGCACAATTTAATTCCACTAATATTTTAATTATAAATTAGATAAATCGAAGTTCACCAATGAGAAGTCGTTGCCCTACTGTAATCCTTGTATGAAAAAACATGTATTTCAGCAGAGCTCAACAAAAATAAAATGAAACATGCGTTTTTAACTTGTAGGTATTTGTGAATGGGTATCTAGAAAGAAGAACGTTATATTTTATTTTATAGAAGTTATTGGTAAACTTAAAAATAATTTGTTATTCACCGTAGTTATACTTTGACCACCATATCGGTCGAATTCGGGTGACGGAACTTTGTTTTGTAGAGTTAAAAATTAATTTGTTTGGTGACATACCGAAAGAAAACAAATTTTGTTGTTTCTGTGAGCTATAATATGGTTAAAAATAATTACTCTGAAAAATCTGAACTTCTTGGTTTCCATTTCGTTAGGAAAATTGCTTTGATTATACGAAGAATTTGATGAGTGCCAATTTTTGGCGATCAATGTGTTAAAGAAGTAGTTTATCTTTATGAAATAAATTTCATTTTGAAAGTAGTACAAAAGCCATATTGCATCAATTGTTTTTTTCCGCCACTTAATATCTAAGGACATGACGAATTAACGAAGAACAAAGGATTGCACCTTATTAACTTGTTTAAATTCGGGGCCATAATTTAATTTTTCTATATAAACGAAAAGCTTTTCTCACAAGGAATTGAATAATAACAATTTTATCTTGATAATCAAATGTAAACGAGGTTAACACTTGACTTGAAATTTATAAATAACATTGTACACTGGGAAATTTTATCTGTTGAAGAGTTAATTGTTGGAATAAGTAATGAATTATTTTTACGTTTTCCTGTAACTTTTATGCACTATAAACATACGTTCTTATATACGTTCTCAACACTGATACAAGCATATGTGTAGCTCTATCATTTTTATTACAATAATGTATTAAGCGATATTTGAAAGGTCTAAAAATATCTAAAAAACGAATGCCAATTGTTGAATTGCGAAAAAAAGATTTGAGAATTAGTCATTAGTCATGAATCATTAAAGAAGAAATATTTTAATGAATTCAGTACAACAGATAAAAAGTTGATTTCCGTTAAAGTAATAAACATATCAAACGATAAAACGTTTTCAACAAATCATGCAATACAAACAAGTGAATAAACAATCAAATTTCCGTATTATCTTTCGCATACGTATACACGTGTGATAAAAAAAGATAAAGAGAATAATCGGGGGGAATACGACAAATACGACGCACCTCTGTGAAAGAAAGGGCATTATCATTAACGGAAAGCCAAAACGTGTCTTTTACATATGAGCATACGACAAACTGGTTATATTATCGGAATGAGTAGTACCACTATCTTTGCGCACTCACTTAACTCATTCGTTCCAACGTATATAACGAACATAAAAATGCCTTAGTCCATTTTTTCAAAACATACAGCAAACATATTTATTTCAAATATTCACGAATACACTTCCGAAAACAAACATGTGCTCCATAATAAAAATTACGAAAGAATTAAGTATCAGTTACGTAATATAATTTGGATTACTTGCATAGGAAATTCATTGATTACACTTCAGAAAATATATTATATTCGAATTTTTTTATATTTTACTCTGCTATAACGGAAAGAAACATGCAAAATCTATTTATATCAACCATTTGTACAGGTGAATAACAAATACATAGTTCATTAAAAGTGTTTTGTTTCTCAACACTCGCCACGAGTATAATCGAAATTGAAAAAACATTATAGAAAAGCCTAGCCCTTTAAACAAACTGTATTGAACTTCTCGCATATTATATAAATAAAAAATGTTATAATTATTAAATTATAAATAAAATACTGCGTTGGCCACGGCACGACTAGGAAGAGGAAATAGTTCACTCTAAGCATATTTATAAACTCAAAAGACGTCACAATGCAGATCAAACGACAAAACCAATAAAAGAAAAATCAAACAAATAATTCTATATTTGCTAAACTTACGAAACCATAGCCCCTGCTTTTCCCAGTCTGTCTGTCGGTGATGACAACAGCTTCCTCGATGTCACCGTACACATTGAAATGTTCCCGGAGGCTTTTGTCGGTAGTATGATAAGGTAAACCACCGACGAAAAGTTTCGTCCAGGTGGTGTCTTTTTGTTGGGGCGTTGTGCCGGCCAACGCGCCAAGGCTCGAGACCAGCTCGTCCGGCCCTGGCGCCCCGACGGCACCCACCGCGCCGACGGCACTGAGACCAGCGGCACCAGGCATCAACATCCTCCAAATTTTGGCGAGATCACCGCCAGATGGAACGACGACTTGCTCAATTTTGACACTTTCTTTGGTACTTTGATCAACGCTAATTACGTCACAAGTTTAGCTGCATTTAAACGACTAGAGACTTGGTTATCTGAAAATTGAAAAAGAAACGCATTTATTTCCACAGGTCGGTTCAAACACGATTTCGAACATTTGTAACGCAACATATAGGATCAAAATACTGATTACACGAACTGAGTCGCAAAGTGGGGAAAAGGAAGTCTAAAGGGAGGGAATTCACGCCTACTTCGCATAAGCGTTGAAATCACCGCTCTATCATGTCGAACGCTTGGAAAAATCATTGTAGTAACGGTTCTGGTAATAGGAAATTGTAATTATATCACTACTTTAATAGTTCAGTAATTCATTGTATACATATAAAAACGTAGCAAGTATTTAGAAGGCAGTTAAGCATTCCCACTCGCTTAACAAATTTATTGAAGGAATTACGAAATGCAATCAACTGGTTAATGGAACTGTGTAACTGTATGGTATAAAGGTTTTAGTTGTTGACGAAATCAATTCCCTTTGTTTGTATAGATATACAACATGTATATACACTCTTTGTTAGAAAACAAAGTAGTGGTCGCATACTTAGAAGATACGAGAGATAAGAATATTAGATAATGCTTTTACGAATAAAATATTTACTGGATTAAAATTTGAAGTAAAGAAATTACCGACACATGTATGTACGTAAAAAGATGATGATTTATGTAACATTTTGATTATAAGCGAACGCTATCAATACTTTCTAGAATTCTGAACTCGAAGTTTATCTTATCACTTAAAAAGTACAATAGAAATTTCGTTTCACGATCGAAGGAATATCGACGAGTTAATAATGATAATTTCTTCTTAAAGGCTATTACGCACACAAACTCTCCGAGAAGAACGAGCATCGCAAAATACGGCGCAACAGGGGCAGACAGAGGCAAGGAACAGGAATTCAGAACTGAAAACTCGTAAGGCGCGACCCTTCGACGAATCGCACCGCCCCACGTGATCCTCGCAAAATGCACAAACAAATGATCACGTACGCGCGCACAGACACGTTCATGGCCGAAGCATCCGATCCACCGTACGTCGTACGACATCGAAAGAAAGACAAAAATAAACCTCTCCTCCCTTCTAGTCTGACACTCCGCGAGTTACCGTTCCACTCGGTTCTCCCGATTCCTCAGATTGAATGAGTCTTCGTTCGTGGCGTATATAAAGAGGGGAACAGATCGAAATCCCCCTTCTGCGCGCGGAAGCTGAACCCTTGCGTACCCAAGGAAAAACCGGCGGTGCCCGATGGCAAAAGGAAGAAGAACAGGCACGACCGGCATGGTCGAAAGAAGGATACAGAAAAGGTACCATGAAGAAGAAAAAGGGGAAGGAGAAAGGACCCTGACCTCCATTCAAGGTTTGTTAACGGTCTTGAAAAGGGAGCCAGTTTTGCTCTTCACAAGGAGCAAAACTGCTCGACCGAAGCTAGGTAGCAGGGTATTTTTCGTACGGCTCTCGGCTTTCGAATTTCTGCAATGCTGCAGGCAAGGATAGTGGTGGATGCCTACAGAAGGGGTCCTCTCTTTCGGTTTTTTCCTCGCTCGCTCCCTCCTTCTCGCACTCACATTGTGCACATTAGGCACAGACCCTCCGAAGTGGGCCCTACGTTCTCTTCCGACC